TAGATATATATATATATATATATATATATATATATATATATATATATATATATATATATATATATATATATATATATATATATATATATATATATATATATATATATATATATATATGAAATTGTCCAACTTTACATCTGTGTAAACAAAATGACATATTAGTCTAATATATTTGTTGGCGCTGTCATCATAAGGGCAGGGAACAGTCGGAGAATAACAGCACACGACTACACCAAGTTGTTTCCTTGGGCGACACGTCACACGCCACCACTTTATTTTACTTCATACAACAACATTGCACATGCTCCACAATTTATAGTCACACCCATTAATGACGTCATTGAAGAGCACTCATTAGAATACACATTACAACACCCCCACTTGCTTTTGCACTATACAATCATCATTCCAAATTTTTTTTTTCTTTTTTTTTTTGAACATTTAAAACAAGTTATTTTACATTCCAAACATATAATGCGTAAATTTTCCCAGTTTTAGCTTTGTGGCAGGTTTGGTAAAAACGTCCGCAACCATATCTGCTGTTGAGCAGTACACAATGTTTATTTTTCCATCATAAAATGCAGATCTGACAAAATGATACTTGATATCAACATGTTTACATCTCTGACGAAATACTGGGGTCTTTGACAAAGCTATTGCTCCTTGATTGTCCTCAAATATTGTAACTGGCATATACATGCAGTCTTTGTCCATTCCACCCAACAACTGTACAAGATACAAACTTTCCTGTGTTGTCGCTGCCAATGCCATATATTCTGCTTCGCATGTAGACAGAGCCACCGTTTGTTGTTTCTTTGACTTCCATGAGATAACTGGTCCATTTTTATTACGGCTAAAACAATAACCCGTAACGCTTCTCCTGTCACTCTGATCAGTAGCCCAGTCTGCATCGCTATATGCTACGAGCTGAAGTTTCTGCTCGCTCCTCTTAAAGCATAAACTCTTGTCTATTGTCCCTTTTAAGTATCTCAACACATGTTTTGCTGTTACCAAGTTACACTCCCTTGGTTGTGACAAATATTGTGAGAGTTTACTTACAACCCAACTAATATCAGGTCTTGTGCACATCATGAGATATATTAAGCTTCCTATAAGCTCACGATACAATCTTGGGTCTACAAGTTTGCTTTCACTTTCAAAGTTTAACTTCTGATCACATGGAGTACATCTAGTACCACATTCAGACATACCAAATTTCTCCAGTATTTTAGTTATGTGCCTTTTTTGGCTAACTTTTATTTCTCCCTCTGTCTGTGTAAAATCAATGCCCAAAAAATGTTTAAGCGGCCCCCTATCTCTCATCTTAAACTTTGCTTTCAGCATGTCTTTAACACTGTTCATTAGAGAATCCTCACTTGTTGCTATAATAAGATCATCAACCCAAATGACTAGAATCACTCTATTATTTGCTGTATGTTTTGTATAAACACAGTGATCTGCTTCATTTGGTACAAAACCGTTTTCAGACAAATAATCAGATAACATCTTATTCCAGTTGCGTCCAGATTGTTTTAAACCATACAACGATTTGTTAAGTTTAAGAAACTGTTTTTCACCAAATTCTGAGTTAACCATAAAACCTTCAGGCTGTTCTATATACACCTCACAATCAATAGGAGCGTGTAGATAGGCTGTTTTAACATCCATCTGATGTAATTTCAGATTATACTGAGCTGCCATCTGCATCAAGCTGCGTATAGACGTCATGCTAGCTGTTGGTGCAAATGTCTCCCCATAATCTATACCAGCTTCCTGGCTGTAGCCTTTTGCCACATATCTGGCTTTAAAAGTCTCAGCTCCATCTGCATTCTCCTTGATGGTATAAACCCATCTACCCCCCACTGCATTTTTACCTTCTGGCAGCGTGGTCAGAGTAAATGTGTTATTTTCCTTCAAGGATTCAACCTCTTCCTCCATAGCTTCTATCCACTTCTCAGACTCCGGTGAAGTCAGGGCCTCTTTAAAACTTTGTGGTGTATTACACACTAAACGATAGCAATAATCAACATTGTCAAAATTTGCCGTGGCAAAATCATCACTCTCTGCCTTACATTCGTAGTCCTTTAAATACAGAGGCACTTTTTTCTCTCTTTTGAAGCGTCGTAGACAATGTTCTTCATCTTGCCTGAGATTTGTGTTCCCCACACTTGAAGGTTCAGCACGCATCTCTTTTGTTCCTTCTGACACCTGCTGTTCTACTTTTAACTCTGACTTAACAGGAACAGTTTTTCTGTAATACTCATCCTCCAACTCCTCTGGTTCAGTCTGAGTTTGGCAGTCATTTTCAGGTTTAGTTAGAAATCTGACTAACCTGTGTTTACACACCCTTCCTGTCACTGGATTATAAATCAAATATGATGGGCTGTTTTTATCATAACCAACAAAAACTCCTTCATCACACCTTGGGTCTAACTTTTTCTTATTTTGTTTGTAAGAGTAGCACACTGTTCCAAACTCCTTCATTTTAGAAAGATCAGGTTTCTTGCCTGTCAACATGTAGTACGGCGTTTGCCCCAGACGATTATTAAAACGCCTGTTGCGTATAACTGCAGAAGTCATCACAGCATAAGTCCATAATTCTTTAGGCAAATTACTCTGAATTAGCAAACACCTGGCCATCTCAAACAGTGTTCTCCAGCTTCTTTCAGCTGTCCCATTTTGATGGGGAGAATACGGCGCAGATGTTTCATGTCGAATAGCATTTTTACTAAATAAAGACTGATAATCTCTTGACATGAACTCAGTGCCGTTATCTGATCTAATGCACTTTACTTTTCCATAGGGGGCTACATCTGCAATAAACCTTTCAGTAGCTCTGACTGTGTCACTTTTAGCTTTTAGAAAATAGACAAATATTGCACTTGAAAAATCGTCCGTAAATGCAAGTGAATCCTTCTTTTGCAGCAGGCTCAATAGGGCCAGCTAGATCTGTGTGCACTAGCTCAAGGGCCGTTTTAGCTTTTGCATCAGCTTGACTATTTCTACTCTGGGTAAATTTCCCTTTAATACACGTTTCACAGTCTAGTTTAGTTTTATCAACCTTCCCTTTGATTTTCATACCTTTCACAACATTTTCTAGTTTTAATACATCTTGAAAATTACAGTGACCTAAAATCCTGTGCCACTCTTGAATGTCATAGCAACCCAAAACTTTATCGTCCTCTTTGTCAGCAAAGTCATTTTCATCGAGAACATCAAGGAAATAAAGTCTATTGTACACGTTAATGTCAAACCTGGTTCCATCCTTGCAGATGAGTTGATCGTGTCCTTGTTGAAAGTTGACCGAGGCTCCCTTTGCCGTCGCTGCTTTAACAGAGAAGATGCTCTGGGGGTAGGTGGGGATGTACAGCGCCCTCGTTATCCCCACCTTCACGTTCCGTCCCTCGGTGTCTCGCAGCCACACCTCTGCATCGCCTCTCTTCTGTGCCACGCCAGTTGTCCTCGTCCCATCAGCAAGCTCCACGAAGTGTTCCTCCGGTCGGAAGGCATCATCAAACTTTTTAAACTTGCTTAGATCATTAATTATGTGAGACGTTGCACCGGTGTCTACCATCAGTCCTCTTTGTTTCAAGCCGCTCATCTGGCTATCGCTCATCTTGAAAACAAACGAGTGATCATCCCCTTCGATGGCCTGTTTCACACTTTCTTTCTTCTTTCTTCGACAGTTGCTCTCTTTATGACTGGAGTTTTTACAGAAACTGCACCATTGTCTCTGTGCTTTAAAGTTCGTCGGACATTGTCGCACTTTGTGTCCCTTCTGGCCACAGCTGTAACACGTAAACTCTGGGTTTGTTTTTTGTCTCTGCATCACTTTGCTTGAGAATCCACTGGCTGTCATCACATTATCTACATCCATGTTAACTTTTAACTTTTCGGTGCTTTCATAATTTCTCAACTTAACTTTGAAGTCACCAAAGGTTAATTTGTCATCATCACTTTGAGTTATGTGAACAACAAATGGCTTAAATGGTTCAGTCAAACCTTTCAAAGTCATGGCTATCAACAGTCCATCACTCAGCGTCTCTCCAGCATTTCTTAGCGCTGTAATGGCAGTTTCAGCCCGAATAATATAGTCTGTGACAGTCTCGCTGGCAGCTTTCTGGAGGGATGTCAGTTCTGTGTAGAGGCTAATTACCCGCGGCTTTCCTTTACCCGCATAATGATCTCGCAGGATCTGCAACGCCCTCCTGCCGTCATCTGCCGCCTCTCTCATAACTAGAGACAAGCTCTTGTCATCTAGACACTGGATCAGCTCGGCGTAGGCTTCCTCGTTTTTATCAGAGTCGTCATCTTCATCTTCATCGGCGTCTGCATTCGGCTCTACCTTACGCAGTATTGTTTCTTTCAAGCCATGCAGCCGGAGATGTCCCAGAAACTTTGCCTCCCACAGCTCATAATTTCTTTCATCTCCATCAAAGCACAATCTTTGCCATCGACTTCCCATCTCCCTCCTGGGCCCATAACCTGTTGGCGCTGTCATCATAAGGGCAGGGAACAGTCGGAGAATAACAGCACACGACTACACCAAGTTGTTTCCTTGGGCGACACGTCACACGCCACCACTTTATTTTACTTCATACAACAACATTGCACATGCTCCACAATTTATAGTCACACTCATTAATGACGTCATTGAAGAGCACTCATTAGAATACACATTACAACAATATTAGCTTCGATATATACATAATTAATAAAAATATACATTATATATATATAATTAGCTTTCTCGCATTTTAAACAAGATTTATTTGTCAATAAAGGTAATTTAATTTAGGTAGGTGTTTAATTTTGTATTCGAGTAGAATATTGTCTGACATTTGTAATTCTGTAGCTCATTAAATATTTATTTTATATTGTACCTTTAACAATGACAGCCTGGAGCTTTATAACAGACTCAAATAATCAAAAGACGAATTAACGATCGTCTTGTTCTTCCCACGGTTCTTCCTCCTTTCCCCGCATCGATAATTGATTGCTTTGGCCTAGCTATAAATACGGGTTACTGCTGTATACCAACGGAAAACCTAAAATCATGACAGAGCCAGACAGTTGCTAACTAGCATCTTAGCCACGATTAAAGGCGCTAATTTATTATTTTTCTATAAGGTTGGCAGGTTGATAAAGCCTTCAACAGCGCTAGCCGGCTAATATCTGCTATCCGTGGGGTGTTTCTGTGTCGAGCCAAGGGCCTTGTTGTCTTCCACACACAAAAAAACCTGTCCGGGGATTTTCATGTTGAAGTCGTCCGGGTTAGCGGTAGAATTGAGTGTTTTCTTGTCGGAAGATGGACACTGACAAGTTTAACTATGTCTACAGCTGTGACCTGGACATTAACGTTCAACTGAAGATGTAAGTGACGCTGCTGGAGCTGTGTGTTTTTAAGGAGCCGTTGGACTACTTTACCGGTGATCTGACAGGAGGCTGAGCTTGCTGTTGGGATTTGTTCAGAATTAAACTGTAGAATTTACTCTAATAATCATCTAGAATCCTGATTTCCTTTTTGTCGTTTTAAAAAAAAATGTCCGGAAGTCATGGGAAACTAATCTGTGTTTCGTTTTGTCCTATCCAGCGGTTCCTATCCGCGATAAACTGCAATTTTTATGTGCGTTTTCATTGTAACTGTTCTGTTTTGAAAAAAAAAGGACTTATATTAAGTGACTTGTTATCAGAAAGCACTTATTTTGATTTCTCAGCTTGTACTTCCGCGACTCTTGGAGCCCGTGCCTCCTCATTATTGCTATTTACATGGACAGTGTGTCCTTTATCCAAGCACTACACTCATTCAGTAGTAATAGAGATGCCAACTGTCCAATTAGTCTCCAATTTATTTGGTCAACTAATAAAAATTCAGGGTTTTCCCTGCATATAATATATATATATATATATATATATATATATATATATATATATATATATATATATATATATATATATATATATATATATATATATATATACATAAGTGTCGTTAGACCTATTTAAGGGTGGCTTCAGTCACCCTTTCTTTGGCATTAGCCACCCTATAATTATTTTGCGATTTAAAAAAAAATATATTTTTTTTTTCTGTATTTATTTTTTCCTCATATTTTCCCAAAACAAATGCAGTAAAGCACCGAATATAGGCCATAAAGAAGACAAGTTAATCTGAACAATCATAGGCGTAACTTCCTTAAGGACTGGTGTGGACATGTCCCCACCAATATTTTGTACACGTATTTTGCTTTCGGTGCTGTGTATATCTGATTAAAACCCCATTCATGCCGCTCCTCAGAAAGAAAATAAAAAAAGTTCTCCCCGCTGCTCACCGTCCACAAACCCCGACAAAAACTCAGAAAAAAGAATCTGTTGCCTCTCGCTTTCTCCCCATCACCCCCCTCCAACCTCTCCCCATAACATTTGAATTGAAGATATCCGCGGGTGACGGGTCGGGTTCGGTAGTCATCCTAACGGGTTCGGGCGGGTGCGGGTTGGTAAAACTCGACCCATGCAGGTCTCTAAGCTACACTACATTCAGTATCGTTGCCATAGAAACAGACAACAGCGCCAATATATCAGAATTATACTAAAACACACGCAAATAATTTCCGAAATAAAAAACAGGACTTTCAGTCCATTACAGTTTTCCGTTTTTAGAGGGTTGTTTATTTTGCGTTTATTAAGTGATGGCTGTGGTATATTAGCTTTCACTGCTATAAGCTTTCGCAGCACTGATTGATTAATTTAAACACCTGCTCTACTGATGGTCTATCGGAGTTGGTGTTTAGGTTGAACATAAAGAACACCTTTTATTTGAAGCTTCTTGTAGCTACTGTTTTAATCCCGGTTTTACTTAAAACTTTTTCCTGACTTTGATAGTGTTGCCATTCAGTAGCAAGCACTGCGCCCATTTTTCTTTTATATGTACACGTACATTTAAGATTTAGCGTGTTATGTTGACAACTCATGAGCAAGCTGCTTTTTGCAATCTAGCAGGAAGGTAAGGATAGGATCTTGCAGGTGTGACGTCACTCTGCAGGGGGTCCAAAGATAAAAGATTTAAACAATTTTGGCATTGGAATTTCAGATTTAAGGGAGTTAGAAAGTTCACTTAGTAAAAGTGCAAACAATAAATCTGATTACCGATTACTTTTAAGCTGGTTGAACATACTGTGACAGACTGGTGACCTGTCCAGGGTGATCCCACCTCTCACCCAGAACGTGGCTAGAGATATGCACCAGCACCTTCTGATCCCACTGAGGGATAAGGTTAAAGAAAATGGATGGTTGAACATAGTCCGCTGATTCTATCAAATCAGTATTGATACCCTCAGGGGCGGATTTAGGAAATTTGGGGCCCTAGGCAAAGACAGGCAGGGGGCCCCCTGAGAAGTAAACCCATAAAACAGCCCCATTCTACAGATAGAGAAATGTTAATAGAATAGACATCCATTATTTGTTCTAGGTTTTGTCCCTCTCTTCTTGTCCCTTTTTCCTCTCTATTTATCAGCGTTCTGATGGCATTTTAGCCAAAGGATTTTTATCAAAAACATAATTAATGTGCACAAATAAGGATTAGTTGTATTAACCATACTGGAAACAGAGTTTTATGGGGCCCCCAGGAACTTGGGGCCCTAGGCAACTGCCTAGTATTGCCTAATGGTAAATCCCCCCCTGGATACCCTGCTGGTGGATGTTCTTGACAGAAAGACGGAGTTGCTTAATCATATTCTGCTTAAGGCCCCATAAGATCTTGTCCGAGTCCTGGTTTAAAAGTAAATTAATTTTAAAAAGTGACCCAAAATTGACTGCCAATAAATGTTCTACAAAATTGATATATTTATTTGATTTCTTTGATTTGTACTGTCTGTTTAGATTTATGTGATATTTTTTGCACAAAATATATAAGTGAATATTGTAACAGTTATGTTTTCAACTGTAAGCATTAAATTGATAAATGTTATTCGCATTTTTTTGGCTTTATCCTTTCCAACAACAAAAAAAAGGCGTCGCGCAGGTAGCTCCCTTTCCTTATGAGCCGTGCCCAACAACTTTCAACACAAAGTTACACCCTTGTCTTAGACAACGCCTTAGCAGGTGCACTGAAAAAATTCGGCGCGTGCTATGCGCCCGCATTATCTTCTAGGGGCTGAGCCACCCTTGTCTCTTAAACCTAGAGACGCCCCTGTATATATATATATATATATATATATATATATATATATATATATATATATATATATATATATATATACAAAATATTAAGTCATTTTTTTCTCTTAATCCCACAAATTATAAATGTTTAGGTAAACCTGCTTTGCAAAAACAGGATCATCTTCAACAATGCGTGTTAATTGTTGTGACTTTATGTGATATTCCTTCTAATTAAAACAAAAGTGCTTTAATTTTAAGCATATTTTATAAAGTAGCTGTTTAACATAGTGATTCAATATTGGATCATTTTCTGAAATGTATATATGCATCAGTGCTGAAGCACATAACTGAATGATCTCCTCAGCATACAGCCAGGTACCTAATGTTTTTGATGTGTCTGAAAGCACAGACACATCTAGAAATTGCCGACTGTAGTTCGGACCCTTGATCTAAACCTTTGGCTGTAGGTTCTCAGGTTATTGTTCTGCTGCAGGGTGAATCTCTGTCCCATCCTCACAGCATGATGTGCAGTGTTTATTTTCTCAGCAGCTATCTTACCATATCTTATAGAGACACCAGATTTGTTAACTGCTCAACCAATAGATATCCTTTTTAACAGATTCTACAACCTGAGCTGCAAATATCTGTAGCTCCTCCAGAGTCACCATGTGCCTCTTGGCTGCCTTACTCAGTTTGTCCTCCCTTTCTTGGTTGGTTTACAGCAGGCATCCCAAAAGTCGGTCCTCGAGGGCCGCTGTCCTGCAGGTTTTAGAGGTTTCCCTGCTTTAGCACAGCTGATTATGATGTTAATCAGCTTTCAATTAAAATCAGCTGTGTTGGAGCAGGGAAACCTCTAAAACCTGCAGGACGGCGGCCCTCGAGGACCGACTTTGGGGATGCCTGGTTTACAGTGTACAGATGAAGTATTGAACAGAGCTGTCAAGTAACAAAGTACAAATACTTTGCTACTGTACTTAAGTGCACTTTTTAGGTATCTATACTTTACTCCATTACTTATTTTTCTTCCTACTTCTGACTTCTACTCATGACATTTTCACACAAGTATCTGTGCTTTCTACTCCTTAAATTTTTAAAACAAACATTACTCGTCACTCTTGGCTTCAGTTTAATTTTTATAAATATTTATTTCATGCACGCAGGTGTTCTTCAAACTACAAACGTGAATTGTCTATGCCATGCTACAGTGTTGGATTCAGAATAAGATGTTGAAATGTCTGAAAGGTCGGACACAGGCGAGAGCGTATCAGGAAACTGAGAAAAACAAGACCTCCCTCATCCTTTGCCCTATCTCAAAGAATTTCTAGAAATAGTCAAAGAATTGAGCTTTCAATCCATATAGTGGCATCTGGCTGTTTGTTCTTAAAGGTTACTTTATACTTTAAGTAGTTTTTGGAGCACATACTTTTTCACTTTTACTTGAGTAAAGAGGTCAAGTTGATACTTCAACTTTTACCAGAGTGTTTCTAAACTGCAGTATCTATACTTCTATTATAGTAACAAATATGTGTACTTTTGACACCACTGGTATTGAACTAAGTTTTCTGAGACATTTAAAGGTTGTTTTATTGTTTAATTAGCTAACCATGTTTTAAACTTTCCTCCATCAGTTTGTTCACTGATGTTGGATTTCTACTGAAACTAATTACACGTTGATTGACTGCCTCCCAGTATTGAGTTTTCTAAATTTCAAATCATGCCCTTTTTTATTTTCAAGATGTTCGAGTAAAAGGGAAGTAAATAAATTCTAAACTTTTCAGAGTTTTATTTGTAAAAAGTTTTGAAACCCCTGTGTCATTTTGCTGTCCCCTCTTTAGGTTTCTGCTTTAATTTTGTTTTTGATTTCTCACATAAAATACCAATGGAATATATAGATGTTTCAGGTTGTGAAGTGATAACATTTGAAAAGTATGCATTCTTATGTAATACACTAAAAAGTACTTTTTAGTGCTGGATAATTTCAACTCTAACCTTTTTTTTTTAGGATTTATGTGAAAAACCTGATGTAAAGATGCAAAATGAAACTACACAACACCTGTACCCTAAGTTTGATGGCAAGAAATTAGCTCTATTAGTTTTCTCAGCTATGTACGTCTGGGTCATGCAGATATTTTTGGAAGGATGGTAGCATTTTTTTTTATTTTCCTTCTTTTTACAATCAGGTATTGATGTATTCAAGTTATTCAATATTGGAACAATTAACTACAAATGTAGCTCTAGAATAATGAGTTAAATGGATCCCGATTAGTTGATTAATAGAATAAGTGGTAACTAATTCAGTGATCAAATAATTGTTACCAGCAGCATCCATGCATCTTGCTGAAAGAACAAAAACGAATGATGCCAAAACTTTACAAAAATAGAACGTTTTTCATTTGAGATGAATAACCTTTTTCTGTTAAAGATGCCTAATCCAAAACTCTGAGTAACAGATATTATTTTGCATGTGTTATTACAATGCACTTAGTATTCTGTAACCATTTTTTTAAAGGACCTTGCAAACACTGTTGGGATATGTTAATTTGATAAGAGTATATTTATTTAGACGAATCAAAAATAATGGCTGAAATAATTGAGCTCTAAAATATTGGACAACTTTAGCGGGATTCAAATGTTACATGAAGTCCTTGTGCTTTTTATTCGATTTTTTAAAAAATCATTCTTTCTTATTCATTAATAGAGCCTCCTTTTTGAGCTAATTGTGACAGTTAACAGGGGAAAAGCTTTGACTTTCTGTATCCCCTCATACCAAGAAAGGCTAACAGAAAGAGACCCCATTAAAAACCTGACTTTGAATTAGCAGCCATCTGCCATGGCATATCTGCCATGAGCAAGTTTTGCATATTATTTGGTAGAACTTTGGTATAATACCACACAATATACTCAGATGTCAGCTAGGAAGAGCTTTAGTTTCTTGTTACTGAAGTTTTTCCCTGACAGTATACAGGTCTTTTCCAGAATTTACCAGAAAATGACTATTCTTACAGCAGCATGTTTGATTGTAATATAATTATCATAAAATTTGACTATAATATATATTTTTAATAATCAAGGATATTTACTATCACTTGTAAGCAATTTAACACATATAATACTAAAGAAAAGGAAATGGTCATAAAAGAGCTGTCATCTTTTGTAGTGTTAATATCCTAACTAAGAGCATGTTCTCTTGTTTTTCCTCAGAGGTAGTTTGGAAGGAAAACGAGAGCAGAAGAGCTATAAAGCGCTGCTGGATGACCCCATGCTGCGCTTTTCAGGTCTGTACCAGGAGAACTGCTCTGACCTCTATGTCACCTGCCAGGTGTTTGCAGAGGGAAAACCTCTTGCTCTGCCCGTCCGCACCTCATACAAAGCCTTCAGCACACGGTGGAAGTAAGGGCCCACTTTGTTTTTTTTTCTATAGATGTGCTCTTATCTTGTTCTTGTATATCATGAGAGTACGTCTATTGCTTTTTCTCATATAATGATTAAATTTCATCTGAATCTTGGCTTTATTTTCAATATAGCTGGAATGAGTGGCTGCGGCTGCCGGTGAAGTACCCCGACCTTCCGCAGAGCGCCCAGGTCGCTCTCACTGTGTGGGACATCTATGGGCCTGGCAGAGCCGTTCCTGTCGGAGGGACAACAGTCACCCTGTTTGGAAAATATGGGTGGGTATTTTCAGACACTGTTATAGTCTGATTGGCTATTAAAGTTTAACTAAGTCCCCCCTAATCAACTTCTTTTGCTGCCACTTTTTTAGCATGTTCCGGCAGGGGATGCACGACCTGAAAGTTTGGCCAGGTGTGGAGGGGGATGGAGGGGAGCCCACCACCACGCCGGGACGCACCAGCAGTAGTCTCTCTGAGGACCAGATGGGCAGACTTGCAAAGGTACGGGCAAAAAAATGAAGGTCTAGAGATGATAGTGTGTATTATTTACTACATGACATGATAGAGGAAGAATGTAGAAGGACATTGGAAGGCAAGCAAGAAAACATGGGATGGAAAGCTGTTTCTAAACCACCGTCTGTTCCAGGCCCCTGATCTGGAGGTGCTCAGTGATGTGAGTACGAATGGAGACGGTAGACCAATGTGTGTGGACCCTTTGTGTATGAAAGCCTAGGCCAAAATGTGTTTGGATTCGAATCTCACATTGGACCATTAATCTAGTTGGTTTTCGTTTTGTGTAAAAAGTTCGGTATGGGGAAACCCCAACAAAGTAGCTTGCATCTTTGTGTTTCCAAATGCATTTTGAGTCGGGTTTTTGGTGTAAACGCCTCCGTGTCCAGATGTATGGCTGCGTTCCTGAAGGCATCACGGACATCTGTTTTGTTTTCTGTTTTTTTTAAGGGTGTGTGGGTTTTAGGTTTGTGAATGTAAAAACAGACACAACATTTTATGTAATTATGTAAATAAGAGATGTACCAGGATGGAACCAATTAATCCTGATTGGTGACTGAATATGCAGTCTCTTCTTGATTCTTGTTCATCAGCAATACACGATTTGTTGTAGATGGTCTTATAAGGAACATATTTTAAATAGATTTGAAAATCTAATGAGAACAATTATAGTGTGCTCATCAGCAATGGGTGATAGGCTGGTTAATAAGGGCACATTTTTATGACTAAGACTATATGCAGTGCTGTGCAGTGTAGACTTTTAAAATACTTTGAAAGAAAAAACATTTTTTGTACTTTTCTAGTTTATGTAAAAACTATTATATCACAAATTATTGTGATATAATAGTTGTAATTGGAGCTAAATGATACGGAGGGGTGTTATGAATCCAGTTTATGGAACCCTTGTTGTAATTAAGTGGTAATGGATTGTATTCGAAACGTTTTTTGTTTTTTTCTGTATGATTGATTGCAGACTGATTTTGTGTTTATTATATGAAGCTCTCATATTATAGATTGCTGTCATAATTGTAATGCCAATTTAGAATATCTCAATTGCAAAGGGATTCTTGGATGGCATATTTGGTAGTATATACTGCAGGGCTGAAACAATCGAATTAATCGATTGAAATAATCGGGAACTAATTTAGTAATCGATTGGTCGCTAAATTGAGTATAGAGACTGTAAAACACACCTTTAGCTGAGTGAGTATTCCAACTTGAGCAGCAATTATACCAAACTTATAAAAAAAAAAAGATATATATATATATAATATTTTTCCCCAGTATTATCCTGCTGATCTGAAACTCCTAGCATCACCTCAGTGAACAGGTACGATTATGTGGGAAAAGCTGCATCATTCTTAACATTATTTCTCAAACTAAGCAGGGGATGCGTTCTTTGCCAAGGCTAATTCTGAGCTACAATGGTTTATCTAACAGTCATTTTTCACAATACGTGTAATAGTCATAACTGTAATTTCCACATGCTGATGAAGATTCTCAGTCATCCAGGTCATAGTCATTCCGTAAAAGTTCAAAAAAATTGTTTCGCCAACGTCTTCAAATCTTGGTAACCAAGTCCAGTGGATTTATTTTCTTGAACTTTTACGGAATGTCGTTTCTACAGTTTTTTTCTTTTGTGTTTGCTCATCACTGAGAGATTAAAATGATGCAAGTTCCCGCAACAGGGGATGTAATTCTTGGCATAGTATTGGATAATTCCTAGATCAGAGGGAAGTGTAGTTTAGGTATATTAGCTTTCAAGCTATGCCTTATAAATATGCTTCATTTTGACATACTGGAAGCCTTCTGGCAGTCGGCAAGTTATAGCTGCTTCAGAGTAAAGTAGAATTAGCTAAACTGATGCTGGTAATTGCTAATACAGTGGGGCAAAAAAGTATTTAGTCAGCCACCAATAGTGCAAGTTCTCCCACTTAAAAAGATGAGAGAGGCCGGTAATTTTCATCATAGATATACCTCAACTATGAGAGACAAAATGAGAAAAAAATCCAGAAAATCACATTGTCTCATTTTTAAAGAATTTATTTGCAAAATATGGTGGAAAATAAGTATTTGGTCAATAACAAAAGTTCATCTCAATACTTTGTTATATACCCTTTGTTGGCAATGACAGAGATCAAAAGTTTTCTGTAAGTCTTTACAAGGTTTTCACACACTGTTGCTGGTATTTTGGCCCATTCCACCATGCAGATCTCCTCTAGAGCAGTGATGTTCTGGAGCTGTTGCTGGGCAACACGGACTTTCAACTCCCTCCAAAGATTTTCTATGGGGTTGAGATCTGGAGACTGGCTAGGCCACTCCAGGACCTTGAAATGCTTCTTACGAAGCCACTCCTTCGTTACCCGGGTGGTGTGTTTGGGATCATTGTCATGCTGAAAGACCCAGCCACGTTTCATCTTCAATGCCCTTGCTGATGGAAGGAGGTTTTCACTCAAAATTTGACGATACATGGCCCCATTCATTCTTTCCTTCACACGGATCAGTCGTCCTGGTCCCTTAGCAGAAAAACAGCCCCAAAGCATGATGTTTCCACCCCCATGCTTCACTGTAGGTATGGTGTTCTTTGGATGCAACTGAGCATTCTCTCTCCTCCAAACACGACGAGTAGAGTTTTTACCAAAAAGTTCTATTTTGGCTTCATCTGACCATATGATATTCTCCCAGTCATCGTCTGGATCATCCAAATGCTCTCTAGCAAACTTGAGACGGGCCTTGACATGTACTGGCTTAAGCAGGGGGACACGTCTGGCACTGCAGGATTTGAGTCCCTGGCGGCGTAGTGTGTTACTGATGGTAGCCTTTGTTACTTTGGTCCCAGCTCTCTGCAGGTCATTCACTAGGTCCCCCCGTGTGGTGCTGGGATTTTTACTCACCGTTCTTGTGATCATTTTGACCCCACGGGGTGAGATCTTGCGTGGAGCCCCAGATCGAGGAAGATTATCAGTGGTCTTGTATGTTTTCCATTTTCTAATAATTGATCCCACAGTTGATTTTTTCACACCAAGCTGTTTACCTATTGCAGATTCAGACTTCCCAGCCTGGTGCAGGTCTATAATTTTGTTTCGGTGTCTTTTGACAGCTCTCTAGTTTTGGCCATGGTGGAGTTTAGAGTGTGACTGTTTGAGGTTGTGGACAGGTGTCTTTTATACTGATAACGGGTTCAAACAGGTGCCATTAATGAAGGTAACGAGTGGAGGACAGAGGAGCCTATTACAGAAGAAGTTACAGGTCTGTGAGAGCCAGAAATCTTGCTTGTTTGTAACTGACCAAATACTTATTTTCCACCATATTTTGCAAATAAATTCTTAAAAAATCAGACAATGTGATTTTCTGGATTTTTTTTTCTCATTTTGTCTCTCATAGTTGAGGTATATCTATGATGAACATTACCGGCCTCTCTCATCTTTTTGAGTGGGAGAACTTGCACTATTGGTGGCTAACTAAATACTTTTTTGCCCCACTGTATAAGATATTTAATAGTGTTGCACAGATACTGACACCAGTATCGTGCGGGGCGATCCAGCACTAAAATGATGGTATCGGTATCGGTGAGTACCAAGAAATAGGGCACCGATACATTTTGAGAGCCAAAAGTTTATTCAACTATTGTCAACCATTCCAGGTAGCCAATAAAAAGTTCTAATGGATTCCCTTTGTATTAGTCTGTTTCCTGCTTCACAACGGTAGGCAGCAGCTCCAAGTAGTTTTTCATATATACACACACACACACACACACATCAATTTCAAACAGATGGTATCGGTATAGGCAATACTGCCCAGCCAGGTATCGGTGTCGGGGCCAAAAAATGGCATCGGTGCAAAACTAATATTAAAGAATGTTTGAAAGGTGTAGTGTCTAAAATCGGCATTGGGATGTCAAATCTGTGCAAAATTCCGATCAATCTCTGGTTATTTTGGTGTTTTGTCTCTTATGGTTTTGAAAGCAGAGGAATCAATCATATTAAAAGTGTTTGTTTGATGCTTAAAGGTGTACATGTTGCCTTTATACCAGCCAGCTGGATTCCTGTGTTGTCTAGTCGTTTACCACCGTTTCCAACGCTCCTGCTTACCTACTCATGAGTGGATCAGCTGTGTGCAGAGATGTCCGACTGGCTGCCGGCCTTGAGTTTTTTTGCATGATTGGTGAAGCTCACCAGCTGCTGTTCTGCGAGCAGCTCCACTGCAGCGAAAGCATAATTTGTTGATCTGTGTTTTATTGTTTTACTAAACCTCTACTACCCTGTGGCCTCTGTCTCTTTGCTTCTCTCTCCATCCAGCTGACCAAGGCTCATCGGCAAGGACACATGGTGAAGGTGGACTGGCTGGACCGGCTGACCTTCAGAGAGATTGAGATGATTAATGAGGTGAGATGGTTTGGCCTAATTAGGTCTGTTAACCTGTTTTTAAATTGTCTATATATTTGCAGGTAAACACATTTTATATGTTTTGCCTCTTTTTGAGCTTTTTGTTTCTGGAAAAAGTTGAAATCACTATTGGTTTGTTATACGGTTCCTCTCTGGTCTTGATTTGTATTTTATTCAGGTGCTGGTGAAGATTCTCAGTCAAAAAAGTTTTAAAAAGTTAAAAAACAAAGTAAAAAAACAAAAGTAAAAAAGTTTGAAGACGATTCGCTTCCCATCCAGGAAGATTTTTCAAATCAAAATGTCTGGATTAGAGTTGAGTTCTAGGCTTTTATAGCGTAGCCCAACAAAAGCCTTGTTATGGCTTAGAAAACATGCAAATTGAACCAAAAAAAACAGGTTCACCCCTTAGTAATGAGGAGTCATTGAGGTCATTGTTGGCCTGCAATGTCCGATACTGGTTAGGGTCATTTTTTGCCTGGCTGCCCGGGTGAGATGTTTTGGTCCCCTGCATGGCGATGGGGGTTGAGATGTGGCGGGAAGAAACAACGCAGTGATAGAGTTGATTCCTTTTCTAAGCCATAACAAGGCTTTTGTTTGGCTACTCTATAAAAGCCTGGAACTCAATGCCAATCCAGACATTTTGAATTGAAAAATGGATGGGAAGTGAAACGTCTTCAAACTTGGAAAACAAAGTCCAATGGTTTGTTTTTTAACCTTTTTTGGAATATTTTATTCAGACTTTTCTGAAAGATTCAGAAAAGATCCAGAAAAAAATGTATTATCCTTATTTACTTAGATTATACATACAGCGAGTTGACTTTGCTGTTACAGTCTGGAAAAGTCAGTTTAAAATATAGAAATGGATTTTGAGCTTTTTCCAAATCTGGATCGGGGGGAAAAGAAAATATATTTTTAGATTTTAATACCGTTTCATTTCTAGATTGGAGATCCATCTGTCCTTCGTGCTCTCCAATTATTTATTCTCTTTTTCTCTCAATCCTCTGTATGTTCATCTGTCAAGCTATCCAACATATTTGGCTTAAGAGAGACTCTGAAAAGTGAGGAATGTGCAGGAATCCTGTCTAATAAAGCACAGATAAGGATGAGACCCAAAAGCTGGTTATTTGCTAATGTGTCTGCAAACATGATGCTGCTGCATCATCCCTCTGAGGACGAATAGTTTTTATGTCAGAACGGCTTATATTATGTGGGTCGAAACGCAACAAACGATTTTTAGAAGGTGCAATTCCTGGAAGCTAAAAATAAAATCTGTGTCTGCAGAGTGAGAAGCGCAGCTCCAACTTCATGTACCTGATGGTGGAGTTCCCTCGCGTGAAAACGAACGACAAAGAGTACAGCATTGTGTACTATGAGAAGGTACGCTCCACACTCCCAGTATCCAGGAAAGTTATCAGATTCTGAATCCGCTGACGGTTCCTTCCTCTCCATAGGATGGAGACGAAGCATCACCTGCTCTGACCAGCAGCGACATCGTCAAAGTCCCTGACCCACAGATGGGGATGGTGAGATGATGTTCATCAAACAATAACAGAAGGTTCAGTTGAACTTGAATTCAGTTAGCCTGGTTAATGTGATTTTTCTCTCAGGAGAACCTGGTGGAGAGCAAACACCATAAACTGGCTCGCAGCCTTCGCAGTGGACCTTCTGACCATGACCTGAAGCCCAACGCCGCCACGCGGGATCAGCTGAATGTAAGCAAACAGCTGTTTGGTTTTTGAATAAGATGATGTTGTGTGTGGAGTACAGCAGTAGCAAAAAATAATGTTGGACTTCACCAACAGATCATCGTGAGCTACCCTCCAACTAAGCAGCTGAGCTCAGAAGAACAGGACCTGGTGTGGAAGTTCAGATACTACCTCACCACACAGGAGAAGGTAGGGATCCCCTCAGTTCGCATCAATCCTTCTCTCCTATGGAAAGAGCTCTGTAGGATTCAACCATTGATTAATTCTTCCTCCTGCGGCTCCAGGCTCTGACAAAGTTCCTCAAGTGTGTGAACTGGGATCTGCCCCAGGAGGCTAAGCAAGCTCTGGAGCTGCTGGGGAAGTGGAGGCCCATGGATGTGGAGGACTCCCTGGAGCTGCTGTCTTCTCATTTCACAAACCCCACAGTGAGGCGCTACGCCGTGGAACGTCTTCAGCAGGCTGATGACGAGGTACCCTGATCATAGGGACAGTTCCTAGCTCCAATATCAAATTAGTTTGTCTCCTCGACATTTATTGCCCCATGGGAAGTTTTCTTTCTTTTCCCTCCAGAAAAAGTATAAAATTACAACCTTTAGTTAAATGATATCGGTACAATGATTTTAATTTCAGTTTTTGTTTTCAAAAACTGGTATCATTGGGAAAATAAATGAATCCCTGTCACTACCTGATCCATCCCGGAAGCACATAATCATTGTACTAAAAGTTCTTAATTCTGTCCTTAACTCACTAAAGAATGCTAATACACATCTTTAAAAATAATGAGAGATAATTTTCTGAGATAATTTTGATGCTTTTCACATTTTCTCCATTAAACTGCTTCTCTGACATCATCATTGGACATGCTCAGAGCAGTCCGACCAAATATGTTTTTTACCATGTTTATCTGTATTTTAGTTGTTTCTTTCTTTAGATTACACAGTATATACCATAATGTTAACACGAAAGGAAACATAGAAATCAAAAATAATAGATTGATGTTAGCTCCCGGAAGTTAGCTCCCGGAAGTAGTGTAGGATCCCATTTCCGGGGCAGATCGGGCACAGCCGAGTGAAAAATCAGTAGTTTTTGAGGCATTTATTTCCTCAGGAAATAGATGATTAACCTTTAACACATAATATTTTAGTAGGGAAAAATGTAATTTAGGTATTTTTTTACAAAATAGAATCGAGGGCGACCCGGATGTATATCTGGTTGCGCATACACAAATGTGCAGATGGCACGGATCGTGCTTTCTGGACGGATCGGGTAGCATCAATCATTTCAACACCTATGTTCCGAAGTGTCTGATTCAGGAGCCTTTTAGCTGGTAATACGGGACTTTTACCATGAATTAATAAATATACTGCAACACACAGAGGCCTCTTTTCTCTGTCATTTTTCATAATCCGAAAACAAGCAAGATTAACCCATTTAGGCCTAAAACGCCTGGAAAAAACACCTTAAAAACCTATGGCCGATTTTAAAAAATACCCCTAAAACCTGAAGTTTTTCTGTAAATTCAGCAACTGTGTCAACGCCTAGTAAATTATTGATATCTCAGCTTCTGTAGCAGATAGAACTCAAAATATATTTTATCTTTGAAATTCTTCCAAAAAAAAAAAAAGTGAAAAGCAGTAATCAAAAAAAAAAAATAAATTCAACCTTTTATTTTTTCCATATGTGATCAAGTCTTCATTGAGAATGTGCAATATAAAACGTTTTTAAAATAAAGAACAAACATTACATAAATAACTATCTGATGATTACTTATTAACAGTATTATTATGCATAATAATGCATATGTCTGTGTTATAAATTGCATACAACTTACCTCCAGATGGCCACAAATCTGTCCCGGGACATATTTTGGGGGAACTGCGTCCTGAAGAGAGGTTTACTCAGTCGCCAGTAATCTCTTCGTACTGGCAACACAAGAAGTCCCATGCCCATACACAGCACAATAAATGTCTTCATCTCCGTCACAGTCACGGGTGACCACTTTGCCATCTTTGCTCTTGTTGGAGTTTGGTTTGTTTGGTCACTGTACCTATTTGTCTCGGTAACAAGATGCATCCAAAGTTCTTCATTAAAAATATGCTCAAATGCCTGCAGCGGTGTGGCGTCTGCAGGCAAATCAACTTTCACTCCAGGTGTGCGGTTGAAAACACTCCGTGCATTGCGGTGGTAGTTCGATTGGTTCAGCGCGTTCAAAGTCATCATTTTCATCTATACCGTCATCAAAGCCGACACACTCCTCAAAATCACTGCCTTCCGACAACTCTTCTCTGTCAAACTCCTCCATGTTTGCTTGAAAAAAACTTCTTTCTTCTTGCTAGACTTATATGCTCTCCCGGCGTCAATGGTAGAATTACGCAACAGCCCCCCCGGCTTGAATGGTAGAAATGCGGTAATGCTTTCCCGGCCTAAATGGGTTAAGTAGAAATCTAAATAAATATGCATAGAGCAGCAAAAATGTGAGAAACGAGGCAGCAGAAGGAGCAATGCTGATGTTGGCATCAAATACAGAAAGCAAATGACATTTAAAAAAAATAAAAAACTGCCCCCTTTTAGTATGGTCCAGCATCTGTGATGCTGTGGGCCTGTTTTTCTTCTGTTTTTCTCTTTTTATCTGTGAAATGTTTTGATAAAGGCTACAACTTTTTTCCGACTGAATGAATTTAATTTACAAAAGCTACTATGAAGATATGCTATCACAATGCATTTTGAAAATTTTTTAATGCTTTTTAAATATTTTTCCAAGGAGAAGAAAGATGCCGATCCTTGTTATACTTTTGTTAAACTCATCTGATCATCTCGTCTCTCCAGGACCTGCTGATGTATCTCCTCCAGCTGGTGCAAGCACTCAAATATGAGAGCTTCAGCGATATCCAGGGAGGGCTGGAGCCGGGCAGCAAGAGAGACGGCCAGGGACTTTCAGATGACTCCACGCTGGACAGGTCAGAGCTACATCAGCAGAGCAGCTCTGGCTGCACATCATATACAACCACAGGGACAGGCATGAGCGGGATGAGGGGGGGTTGTTTCTGGAAACGGTAGAGAAATCAGCAGGTGACCTTTTTTTGGAATTTCTAAATGGTCTAAATATACCCCCGCGATGTTCATAGGGTATCAAACTCATGCTGATTTTCAGTATTTGATTATTTCTGTTTCAGGAGGCGTAGAAAATCCTTTGGTTGTTAGGATTTCGCTGGCAGCCCTGCAGCTGAGGCAGCACTCTGAAGCTGTTGGTTCAGTGCAGACATTTAGACTTCAATGTAGAGAGGAAGAAAATAGTACATAAATAAAAAGCTTAATAGAGAAAAAATATATAGTTAGTTAATTGTGATTTTTTTTTTACTTTAATTCAGTTCAGTTCAGTTTATTTATATAGCACCAATTCACAACACATGTCATCTCAAGCACTTTACAAATTCACCAGATCATACAGTCAAATAGATTAGGTTTGCTATCTGAGGAAAATCAGTTGATTGCATCGACTCATTGACTCAAAGGCAATCCCTCACATTAAGCATGCTTGTAGCGACAGTGGAAAGGATAAACTCCCTTTTAACAGCAAGAAACCTCCAGCAGAATTAGTGTGAGTGGCCATCTGCCGAGGCCGACTGGGGTTCAAGGAGACAGAAGCAGAGATGCAGAAAGAAGCAGAGATACAACAGGCAACTGTCAACCAGCTCCACATGCGGCCCTGTGCAGGAAATGCAAAGCTCAGAGCAAGCTCCCATGTCAGGGGATGAAAGAGACACACGCAGATAGTCACAGTCAGAGAAACAGGACTACACTGAAAAACAGGCCGATCTCCAACATCTATAAACAAAGGTGTTGATGGCAGCAGCACAGCTGATATTTCTCTCCAGGATGGAGTCACAGCCAAACAGGAACAGACCAGATGAAGCTACTATGAGAAAAAGCAGGGAGAGCATAATGCAAGAGATTGAACTAACAAATCAGTATCGTTTGTTTCTGTTTCCTTCTTCTTGTAGTTCTCAGATCCTGTCTGTCACATCCGGATCATCCACCACCCCTCAGCAGAAAGGCAAGGAAGCAGCAGACAGTGAGACTCTAGAGGTGAGAAAACTTTAGATGAAAGAAAGTCCCCAAAAATAACAGTTACAGTGAGTGCTGAATTTAATCTTATTTTTTTTATTTTTCTTTATTTAGCAAGACCTGTGCACCTTTCTCATATCTCGCGCCTGTAAGAACTCCACACTTGCTAACTACTTGTACTGGTGAGCAGAGTTTGTTGTGTTTCCTACAGAGGAACGTTGCTGCGGGACCTGCAACAGTTAGTTAAACTCTCCGGTTGCTCTCCAGGTATGTGATTGTGGAGTGCGAGGATCAGGACACGAAGCAGAGGGATCCCAAGACACATGAGATGTACCTGAACGTCATGAGGAGGTTCAGTCAAGCGTTGTTAAAGGTCAGCATCTCCCTTTTTCTGGTGACATTTCTAAACGGCTTCAAACATACTGAAATCTGTTTGGTTTTCTGTCTTTCTCCTCCCTGCAGGGAGATAAGAGTGTGAGGGTGATGCGTTCACTGTTGGCCGCCCAGCAGACCTTCGTAGACAGACTGGTGCAGCTAATGAAAGCCGTCCAAAGGGAGAGCGGTAACCGCAAAAAGAAGGTAACAAACATGTTCCTCTATTTCTATTCTGCATCAGTTGGACCATCATGACGGATTTAAGCTGCATCATATCGACATGTTTCCATGTTTGTCCACAGACGGAGCGGCTGCAGGCTCTGCTGGCCGACAACGAGAAGGTCAACCTCTCGGACATCGAGCCGATTCCTCTTCCTTTGGAGCCTCAGATCAGGATCAGAGGGATCGTCCCAGAAACGGCAACGCTCTTTAAGGTAAACCAGCCTTCAGCACTCATGTCTTCAGCTTATAAAGGCCACCCAAAACACACTTCTGTCCTCTTGTTCCTTCGCGTGATTTGATTGTTCCTCCTCTGCTTGCGTGTGGTTTGATTACCACACACATGTAGCTTCCCAAAGTAACTTAAGGCTAACAGTTTCTTTTCAAGAGTTGGAAGTTGGTAAGCAAAGTCATCATTAGATACAACATGGTCTGGATGAATACTGGATTCTGATTGGCTGTAGGGTTAAAAAGGGTTATATGACATTGACAGAAAAAAGGTTCAGGTCAAACAGCCTGGTAGTTTCTGCTAGCTCCAACAATAGCTTGAAACGCAAAGAATTAAAAGAGATTAAAAGAGATTAAAATGTTACCTTGGCAACGTGTCACAACTCAAGATGTGGGATTTCCTGAAAAGTAGCCAATCACAGGCAGGCATGTTGCTTTGTTCGGTGGATGAGGCCTTCAAAGTGGCAAAAGTTGACAGGAGCATGCAGACACCGATCCACACGGGAGGAGGAGTGAGGCATGTTAAACAGAAGCATCTGTATGAAATAAAGCTGCCTGTAGGAGTATTTATTGTGTGTGTGGACTTTTGGCAGACTCCTGATGCCGTAATTTTAGATCAGCTGCAACCACAGGCTTCATATCTCAGATCACTCACATCGCCAGTGTCCTGTACTCTTTCTGTTCAGCTTGAATCCGCTGCACTCTGAAAGAAAGTCAGGGACAAACCCTGTAACCATAGACTGTAATATATTTAAAATGCGTTTAAACAGTTTTTCCAAAAATCAATATTGTGGTTGCAGTTTTATTTCAATTTTCCTTTGCACTAACCGAAAGTTTTTCATGAACTTTAAAGCTTTCTTGTCTAGAGTGTATTGTTGCAGGACTTTCCTTTAAAGGTACACTATGCAACCGGTGTTGATTTTCCAGCGAGGCTCCCCCCAGGGGGCGAAAGTAAAAGTGCACTGTCGTAAATATGCACAGCTGTTCTCCTGGTTTCTCTGTCAAGCCAGGCGCGGTTGTTTTGAGCTTAGCAGACAGGCGAACGCAACGAATGACTATGCTGCGTTCACACCGCAGCTGGCGCGACAGAAGCAGCGAGTTTACATGCAAATTCAATGGATGACGCGCGTCAAGGCGCAGCAAAAGGTCCCGCGGCGCGTTTTGAGCAGCAGGCGCAGCGCGTCTGAGCAGCTGAAGCAGCGCGTCAGGCGCGTTTAAGCATCTGACGCAGGGAGAGAGACACAGCGCTGATGATCACTCCTCTTAAACAGTTTATTGACGCCTAAATTAACTTAAAATGCAGAAATCTGCCGGCAGAATATGCAGTTTGGATTATTTAGATGAAAAACACCTACCAGCTGCCTTGGTGAACCGCGAGGAGGCGACCAGGCCAGAGGCTGCTGATGAAGGGATTCCTTCTGTCGGCGCACCGCTGGTATGTGGGGGTCTGAGCGGCTCCGACCGAAAAAATATTGAAGGCAGGATAATAATCTGAATGAACTGACGGCACTGATTACGTTTTCAGGTGTATTTTCTCACTTAAACACATATTAAAACTACTTTATTCCCACTGATCACAGCAAATATAGCTGCAAGGCAGAGAAAGGATAGTGAAGCTCCGCCCAACGCGCGTCAGACACACTTTTGCACCGCCCAGCCAGAGCAGCAAAGCTGGCTTCAGCCGCGCGTCAGAACTATCTGGTACAAGCAGCAAAAATGAAGCAGCAGACGCGATTTTGCTGCGTCCGATGTGAACGTAGCATAACTGCACAAAATCGCCACTGTGCTAGCAACGAGCATGCTTTTAACTGGGGGGTGTAGCAGTTCTCGCCGTAAAGCAAGACTGACTCTCGCGAGACTTCTGAGCCTGTGGGTGCGGGTCGGTGCTCCTGCAGTTGCAAGTGCGGTATTTCCCCCACAGACCACCAGGGCGGCCGAGAATACCTTTGTTCAACCTGAAATGAATCATTTAATCATCCATAACGTTATGGAACACATTAATTAACTGAAAAATGTTGCATAGTGTGCCTTTAACTTGTGTTTGAAAAACAGCTAACTTCTACTCGCATTCAAGGATCTATGTTCTAGCTGCAACTCTCTTCCCTTCTGTGTGGCTGCAAACCCACTTCAAGTGTATTACCGCCACCTAATGTCTGGAGGGAGAAATTTAGTGTCTTTTAAATGTAATGGGACCAAAGCTGAGTGTCTCTGCAATCTAAGAATAGCTTTTTGTTAAATTGTGATTATGTTTTAAATGTAAAGTGTTTATGTTTGTTACATTTTTCTAAATAAATGTATATCATTTGTATAAACTCTACTTTCAATTTGATACCCTTAATGAAATGTATTAAAATCATAATAATCTCAAGATGTGGCCTCCATAGTATATAAGATCCAGTTGTGCGTAATTAAATTGTGGTATGAAATTAAGTGGTTCTACAAAGGACATAGAGATAAAGCAACATGACGATCAAGGACCACAGCAAACAAGGCGGGAAGAAAGTTGTGAAGCACAGCTGAGTTAGTGATTAAAAAATGTCTCAGGGTAACACTGGAGGAGCTGCAGAGAACTGCTCAGTCGATTAAAGGAGACGTCCTGAGCCCCCTGCTGTTCACCCTGATGACATATGACTGCGTCCCCAGGTTCACCACCAATCACATCGTGAAGTTTGCGGACGACACCACGGTGGTGGGCCTCATCAGGGACGACAACGACCGGGACTACAGAGAGGAGGTGGAGCAGCTGGTGGACTGGTGCAGTGAAAACAGTCTGATCCTGAACGTGGAGAAGACGAAGGAGATCATCGTCGACTTCAGGAAAAACCGCCCCCACCATGCTCCACTGCTCATCAACAGCTCAGCTGTGGAGGTGGTCAGCAGCACAAAGTTCCTGGGGGTGCACATCACGGACAACCTCACCTGGACTGTAAACACTTCATCTCTAGTGAAGAGGGCACAGAAGCGCTTGTACTTTCTGCGGAGGATGAGGAGAGCCCGCCTGCCCCCGCCCATCCTCACAGCCTTCTACAGAAGCACCATAGAGAGCGTTCTGACCAGCTGTCTCTCTCTGTGGTGTGGAGGCTGCAGAGCTTCTGACTGGAAGAATGTGAGGAGGGTGGTGAGGACAGCGGAAGGAATCATTGGGGCTCCTCTTCCCTCCATTAAGGACATTTCATCACAGCGCTGTGTGTCCCGAGCCCGTAATATCATCAAAGACCCCTCACACCCCCACCATGGACTGTTCTCCCTGCTGCCCTCTGGAAAGAGGTTCCGCAGCATCCGCTGCAGATCCACCAGGTTGTGCAACAGCTTCTTCCCCACTGCCATCAGACTGTTGAACCTTTGATCCACAATCCGAACTCTGCACCTATTGCACATTATCGGGCATCAAATGCTGCTGAACTTTTAACTTTTAGCCCTTTAAATTGTTCATCTCATTGTATTTTTCAATAACGCATTTTTTGCACAAATGCCATTTTGCACTGAACCACTGCAACTTGCACACTGTCTCTTATCCTCTGCACTGTTCACACTTTGACCACTGCTGCACTTTTTGTATTTTTCTATAACTCGTGCCATTGTGAAATATCAATGCAACGTTCATAAGCTGTATGTAACGCAATTTCGTTCTGTATGCACCCTGTGCATACAAAATGACAAATAAAGAAGTCTTACAGTCTCTTACAGTCTTACAGTGTTAGACGTGATCTACACAAACCTGACCTATATGGAAAACTGGCAAATTCAAAGCCATAAGAATTCCCATTTAGACTTTAGCTCTCCAGCAGAACCTGTAGCTGTCGGGTTACTCTGATTGTCTGTGTTTTTTAACTCAGAGTGCCCTGATGCCAGCTAAGCTGATCTTCAAAACAGAGGACGGAGCCATGTACCCCGTCATCTTCAAACACGGAGACGACCTGAGGCAGGACCAGCTCATCCTGCAGATCATCTCCCTCATGGACAAAGTAAGACCTGCTTGTGTCAACCTCCAGGGGTTTTCCATTTGCTGGGAGGCATTACCAGATGTCAGGATACAATTCTTCATTATTCTGTTGTTTTTAGCTCTTAAGGAAAGAGAACCTGGATCTGAAATTGACTCCATATAAAGTTCTGGCCACTAGCACCAAACACGGTGAGCACCTCTTCTTTCCTGTTTGTTGCTGATCCAAAGCTGATATTGCAGTGCGTTAAAGCATAGATTTTATAACAGATTGTATTGCTGTTAGACTTAATCTGTACTCCAGATTGACCAATTATTGATTATTCCAGGTTTTATGCAGTTTGTCCAGTCTGTTCCAGTTGCAGAGGTTTTGGCTACAGAGGGTAACATCCAGGTAAGCCGATTTAACCACTTGACTCGGCGGCTTGAATTAAAGCAATGTTTTTATCCCTACTCCTTATCCACACAGAGTTTCTTCAGGAAGCACGCGCCGAGCGAAAAGGGCCCCTACGGCATAAGTTCGGAGGTGATGGACACTTACGTCAAAAGCTGCGGTGAGAAACTCTGTGAGCTGCAGCATAACCAGCACAGCTCAGCAGCCTAACTAACTCTGTCGCTCTGCCTCTCTAGCTGGTTACTGTGTCATCACATATATCCTCGGAGTGGGAGATAGACATCTGGACAACCTGCTGCTAACAAAGACCGGTGAGGGAAATGCATCCATAAACCCCAGCCAACTCCCTAAAAAGGCTTTCCTCCTCTAAGATCTCTTCTTGTTTCAGGAAAGCTCTTCCACATAGACTTTGGCTACATCCTCGGTAGAGACCCCAAACCTCTGCCGCCGCCCATGAAACTGAGCAAAGAGATGGTGGAGGGGATGGGAGGCACACAGAGCGAGCAGTACCAGCAGTTCAGGAAGCAGTGCTACACCGCCTTCCTCCACCTAAGGAGGTAAATTCAAAGGAACGACTCCTGACTTGCTCTATCAGTGTGTTTAATGTTTAATTCACACTGATAGACGTTAAAGGGCGTGCACCGCACTAGAAATTGTGGTCATTTTGTTACATTTGGTCCTTGTTTTCCCTCTATATCCACAGGTACTCCAACCTGATCCTGAATCTTTTCTCTCTAATGGTGGATGCCAATATTCCTGACATTGCTCTGGAGCCTGACAAGACCGTTAAAAAGGTAAGGCTGCCTCTTAAATAAACCAAAAATATGTTGGACTGGGTTTGGGTATGAATGTCCGATTTCTCATTTCAATTTTGATTCTTTTAAGAAAAATTATCATTAAAGTTTACATTTTAAAAATTAGCTTGCTAAATTTAGTTCTGGTGCATGAAATTAAATTAAATAAAATTTCTTTTACATCTAACTGTTGTGTAAAAGGTACTATAAATGATCCCAGCTATTTTCAACTAGTATATAAAATCAAACCTATGAACTCTAATAGAGTTTAATGAATTCACTTTTGTGAGTTACAAATGCACGTTAATATTTCTTTTTAAAAACCTAATTATAACACATTTACATGTATCCAGTATCTGATGCTGGTGGTGTTTTAGACTGAGAGTCTGAGCTGGAGGGAAAAAATGAGCACAGCAGGAAGGTATTATGAAACAAAATATCCTCAGTGTGGATGTAGTTTTTAAAATCTCTGAATTGATTGAGATTAATCTCACAGTGAAATTTTGAAATTTATGAAATTTACTCGTTACATCAGCACACATTGTCAGAGGAGAAGAAGAAGGTCCCAAAAAAAGGAAAAAGGCGCATGGGATATACACAGTATATACAGGGCATCCGCATATAACAGCTTTTTTTTTTAAATATAGTTGGATAATTACTGTATACAGGGTATTTATATAGATGGATATTTCCATATATAGTTATTGCACTGGGTGTCAGATATAGAGAAACAAGTTATTGCACTGGGTTTTAAATAATAATTACACATTATACATTGCACAAGCTTCTTTTATTTTCTCCCTGATATAACATATTTTAGGGGCTACTACTGGATGACAACATCTATGCAGCTGAGCCTGTGATCAGTCAAAACCATTCAGCTTGTCCTCCCATCACCAGGTGCAGGATAAGTTCAGACTGGACCTGTCGGATGAGGAGGCAGTTCATTACATGCAGAGCCTTATTGATGAGAGCGTTGGCGCCTTGTTTGCTGCTGTGGTTGAGCAGATACACAAATTTGCACAGGTTAGTCGACTTTTCTTGTGTGCAGTTGTGATTTACTCTTAAATGGATTGAAAAGGAATCTTTACTGAAGAGTTTACTTTTTTTTTTGTTCTTTTTAGTATTGGCGCAGATGAGCAATCCAGACGAGCAAAACCGGGTCAAAGCTTCGCACCACAAATACACAATAGTGAAGTCTTGGCTTGTCTGCGTGTTCATGAAAAAGGCAAAAGAAAACTTAGAGGCACTGCTGGGGAAAAAAAGGCCAAGAATGCACTGCCAACCTTTGTTTTCCCCTGTATATATCTTGTACATTAATTATTGAATGAATGAAAAGTGCGGCCAAATAAAAGACTGTTGCTACGACTGAGCATGCCCACTGCTGTGTTTTTACTCCTATCTGGTGTATATTTTCTCATGAGTGTGGCCCGAGCTTGGCTGCTGTGCAGCGTTTATGGTACGTAACGTGTTTCTGCTGACCCGTCTTTGGACAGTCATACTGTCCACGCTGGGGGTAGGAACAGGCTGAACTCCCTGAGGTTTGGTGAGTCACCGGCAGTGACTCAGCATTACGTGTTAGTCACAGAGGAAGGCATGAAACACAGGCGAGTAGTGACCGATTTATATCATCTGGTAATGCTTTGGTTCTACCTGGCTACTCTAACATAAAATATATTTATAAAGTAAAAAGATTGTGTTGGATTTTGCGTGAATGCTGAGGGTGGGTGATATTTGTATTTAGTTCAGTTGCTAATTACTCCATATTCTGGGACTTTTTGTATTCTTTTATCTCCGTCAATGTAAAATAGTCTGGGTAAAATGTAAAATCAAAAAGGAGAAGTCTATTATAACAGATCAAATATCAGAGGTTTAAAGAAAATTTTCACCATGTTTACAGTGCCGTTTCTGCTTTGCTTTTACATCCAACTGAAATCATTAAGAAAATTTAGAATTGGTTGGCTTTGACCTTTATGAAGTTAAAAAAAAGCAGCTTTTTAAATTTAATTCAGGAGAAAAATGTCAAAAACAACCATGCCATGTGTGAAAAGGTGATTACCTCCTAAAACTTATCGCTGATTGCCATTCTGTGTGACGACAGCTATTGATTTGATAACTGCTAATATGCATTTCAAGCCAGTCCACACCTTGACTAGCCTGATGTAGTCCTACTCAATTCTAGTCAGAATATGAGTCTGATACTGCTCCATAGAGCTGTGATTATGGGGCGTGTTTCGAACGAACCAGGAAAAAAATTGCCTTTGCACTCAATTGGATAGATCTACAACCAATAAGAGCAACGGAGTGCGTGACGTATGTTAAGCGACGCATAGTTGTTGTCAACAAAAATCAAAGCGTGCAGTTGCACGCCTATAATAAGAAGATGAGCCTTGATCGCGTTTCTCTGTTCCTCTTTTAAAATTAATTTGCTGTCGATATCTTCTAGAACAGACCTAATAGCAGAATCTACACACCTCGACTCTCCAGCGGCAGCCATTGTTGTTGTCACCCATGCGCGCTTTGGTCACGTGGTTGATTACGTTACTGTTGATCATCTGTCCATCATCGTATAAAGCCCGCCCTGACAATTTGATTGGCCCGCCAGATATTGTGCAAGCATACTCACGCTACTGTTGAGCAATGCCAGACCGAACTTCCCGACCTCAAACGTTGTGGGCAGGACTAAGTTCGAAATGGCACCCAGGCTACACCTTGACTAGGCTACTTATAACACCTTAATTTGCAGGGTTTCTGCGGGTCATTAAAAATCACTTAAAGTCAATAAATTATTATTTTTTAAATTAAGACCTTAATTGGCATTAAAATCCATTAAATGTGTTTATTGTGGCATTGAAAATGCTTTGTTAAAAAAAAATGTTTACAAAAACTATTTTTTCAGATATATTATAGCACGATATATTTGCTTCCGGTTGATTGCAAAGCTGTATGTTCAGAAAAGAAGCTTGAGTCGGAGAAAAAAAATTTATGGGTGGAAAAAAGCTAATTTCAACAAAATTAGCTGGAAAACGAGGAATTCGGGACATGTCTGCAGCCTGTCGACGGGTACCTGTTGCTGGCATTAAAATGATTTCTAAGAGCATTAAAAGAGCATTAAAAAGCATTACATTTGAGTTATTCATTCCTGTATAAACCCGGATTTGATCCATGGATCAATTATAACCAGTTAGGGAATACCATCACACTACCATCCCTGTATTTGACTATTGGCACGATTTTTCTTTTTACACCAGGTGTATCTAGATGCAGTTCCAGTTTGATTGGTCCATAAAATATTTCCCGCAAAATCTTGGAAATCAACGTTTTTAGGGGGGTTTGGGTGGCGGAGTCGGGATTAGGTGGGCCTTGGTGTTATTTAATAGCAGTGGTTATGACCTTTGACCTTCTTATTGTTTGCTTGGATATCTTGTTAAATCATAAAGACATACTGGGTTTATTTTTAGTTCCTGTGTGACCTTGCTGATAAGTCATCAGTGAATTTCTTAAAAATTAAGATGGATAGCTGTCAAAGTGAATAATTTAAGCAGAAACTACAATTGAAAATAAAAAAGATGTGCTTTACACCACTCCCCCTACAAACAAATGAGATGTTAGCAAAGCAGAAAACAAGTGTTTGCAGTTGGCTTTGAATTAAACCAGACAGAACCTATAACTATTCTGGTTGTGGGGGGGGCATGCTAGGAAAGCTAACTTCCAGTAGCAGAACCAGCTAAATTATGTCTTGTTTTCTTTTGGGAGGGCTTTTTAGTCCTGGATGATCTTGGTTAAAAAAATTAAATCACAACCAAATAAGTGAAATAATTTACTTTGATACAATCTATAAAAGAGCAAACAGACAGTTTATAACATCAGTTTTTTGTATTTTTTTTTTTTTAAACACCTGGCAGCCATATTGGATTGAATGGTTGAATCTGGTTGGAAAGCTACAACTTTAACCTTGATTTCAATCTTTAAGAGTTGTTCAAATCTTTTTCAATATAAAAATTTAACCTCAACAAAAAGTTGAGCGCTTTGTCAAAGTTTAGTGTTCAAGTACACCTCATCGTAGGGTAGGCTACTTTCTTTTTTTTTCTTTTTTTTTGACAGTTGTCCTAATCAGATGTTGCACTGAACCATAAGCCATGTCTCCCATGTATAAAGAAAACACTACCGTTGCTTTGAGATCATGGTCAGTAATAACCCCTTGATAATCTACACTAATTCAAAATACTAAGAAGAAGAGGAGCCTTTTTGAGTTCAGGTCAGAGACCTTAATGCAAACAGCAAAGTGATGCGGTTCCAGTTCTTCGTGATGAAGATGACCGGATCTTAACTGTTGTGTAATCAGGTGGTAATAAAACAGGCCAGCTCTTCATGCTTCATGCAGTTATCCGGTTCTCCCTACAGCGAAAGCACTGAGCTGATTAATACAATACAATCCAATACCACTGGCTCTGTTATGTACCCCCCCAATGTCGGTGTATATCCAAACAATTGTGCATGGCCAAACCCACAGAGAGCCTCAATGTCCTGGAAAGAACGCAACACCAGCAAAACAGAAGGTGAAAAACAGATGACAAGATGTTCTGTGTTTTCATGCGGGGGGGTACAGTCAGTCACGGGGCAACAGGGAGTCAAACTCTTCTTAAGAGCAATAAATATTGGAAAAAAACTGCCTTATCTCCTTGTCGGCTGAGAGAAGCATCGACTTGGTTCTCTTTGTATGTTCCTGCTTTTTGTTTTTTTAAACATCAAACAAATGTCTGTTAGACTTTGTGTGAATCTCAGCAAACCAGAAAAAGATTCCTGCTTCAGTAGTCGCTCTCTAAGGTTAGATCTCATGCTGCGCTGTGACTCCTACGAAACAGAAAACTATACTGAGAGTTAAAATGGAGAACTCTGCATGATGTCTGACATGTATCCATTCATCGACCAATTTAAATTTCTAATCAGCCAATCACAGGGCGGCATCTCAATTCATTTAGGCATGTAGACATGGTCAAGATGATCTGCTGCAGCTTAAACCCAGCATCACAAGTGGGAAGAAAGGGGATTTAAGTGACCCTGAATGTAGCACGGTTGTTGGTTCAACTCCGTTTTCAAGCACAATCGTCTCTAAGGTTTACAGGAAATGGTCAGAAAAAGACAAAATATCCAATGGGTGATAGTTCAGTAGGCACAAATGCTTTGTTGATACCAGAGGCCAGCTGGCTGATATAAAGGCAACAGTATGGCTTTTCCAGCAGGATAATGTGCCGTGTCATAAAGCCTCTCAAACTGGTCTATTAAACAAAACAATGAGTTCACTGTACTCAAACAGCCTCCCCGGTCACTAGATCTCAATCCAATAGAGTCCCTTTGGGATGTGTTGGAAGTGGAGATTCACATCATAGATGTGCAGCCCGAAAAAATCTATGAATCTATGCCACGAAGGAATGAGGCAATCTGAAGGCAAAAAGGGTCCAACCCAGTACTAGAAAGGTGTACCTAATAAAGTGGCAGGTGAGTGTATAATACTTAAATAATGCTTGAAATGTATCGGGCTTCTGTTCCTTGGCTCCCTTGATAAATCAATTGTTTCATTACGCAAATACACTTGGTTAAATTTCATGATCATGTAGAATCCAGAAAAACTTAAATAGAACCTGTCAGGAAAACACAGATTAGGTAAGATTATCTAATAAAAAAAGAAGAAAAAATCAGCACATGATGCAATCTAAGCAAATTCAAGAACAGATGAGAATAAATCATCTGTCAGTCTGTTACAGAGGCTTTTCTAAGGCTTTGAGAGTCTGGTAAATAACATCCACAAAAGGGAGAAAAATCTGAATTTTTACATGGAATCCATTTTTAAATGTTTATACAAAAGTTGATCCTGAAATTATGTTTTAAGTCATCAGGTAGCATCTAAATTACAACAAACCTAGGAATGTGGTCTTCCAAGTGAATTTTCACTCTTATACTTCTAAGGCCACTTTTATGTTGGATCAGGATCACAACATCATGAATAGGGTAGATTGGACGGTATGGAATAGGATTTGGGCCACTGGAAAAAAAAACAATAAACTGATATTTTTATTTTATCTGAGTTTAATATTGGAAAAATTTCCTTTTTTACATATTAAACTCAAATAATAATAAAAAGAATCTGTTTATTTTATTTATTTTTTTCCGGTAGCCCTTATACTCTTCCATACTACAGTCTAGGCAAAATCTTAGAAAAATATATAGAATTTTTCATCCTTTTTTGGATGCATTAAACACATAGCCACTTTGCATTGTTCTTGTAGGAGCTAAAACAGGCCAAATATTTAATAGAGTTTGATGGAGTAGCCATGCTGGTCTCATGCCAATGCTTCAGTCATATCCTTCTATGCTGAACGTTATCTACTATAATGCTGTTGGATTCAGTTTCTACAGCTGAAACCAGATATTTAAACCCATAAACGTTCAACTATATCAGAAGTTTAAATGGTTTCTGTTTGGCATTTGCTAATTCTGTCTTTTAGTTTTGGTTGAATTTTGGCTCATGCATTGACAACGTTGCTTTTTTGTTGTTGTTCTTTTTGTCTTTAGTTTTGCAGTTTAATCAGAGTGATTTTCTGTTTGGAAGACCTATGCTGCATCAAGAAAATATTCATGGTTATTCACCTTTTCCAATTTTTTTGTGCCTTACAGATTTATTCTTAAAATATTAAAAAAGTATTTTCTTTTTTTGGTCTCACACAAAACTGTCCATTATGATAATAATATGATAATATGATAATATTCAAGTACTAAAACCCTTTGCTTTAACACTTAAAGCTGTGTTTAGGCACATCTGTTTCCATGGTATGGATCATTTTTAAGATGTTTCTACTATGTGGTACTTTACGACAGTAGGAAATGATATCCTAGGACATTTCTTTTCATGCATTCTTTACTGCTTTCTTTTATTTTTTTTGTCATGATATCACAAAAAGTGGGTTTGATGTGTACCTTTAATTACCTCAGAGATTATGGGATAACCCATTTGAAGCTTACAGAGCATGACATCACCTGGATTTAAAGAGGCTGCATTTTTGATGGATATAACTTTGGATTTAGAGAACAGCCATAGACAAAAAAGCAAACAAAAAAATCACATTATATGGAAATTGAGTAAATAGAAATAACTGACTGAAAACATTTTATCTGATTTATTTTCAGGCAATGATTATAAATATTTTCTCACTATGTACAAATCTGGTTTCAACTGTATGTATGTTGTTTTTGTTTTCCTCTGTGCTCCGGCTGAAACCAAAAATACTTCCATCCGTAAGCTAAAGTGAACAATCTACAATCTCCAGGCTGATATACAGTACATTATAAACCCTATTGATGGAGTAGAGGTATAAGATGTGCAGAGGTGGACACACCTCCAAATTGCACAAAGGCCAGTTCATCGAAGGAAGTTGGATTCATAAAAAAAATAGTAATTACTCAGGAAGGCACTCCTTGATCCACGTCCTCTAATTCTTGTGATAAACTGATAAAAGTCTGTATGATGTTTTCAGCTACATATACCTCCCATATTGAGAGAGCAAATTGGGGTCATAAGTGTCTTTACACTGAAAGTAGGTTTTCAAATCCAAGGGATCATGCATTGTTCCTAATCCAGTATGGAGGATCCATTGAACCAAACCCCTTTGTTTGAAAGTCTTCTATTTTCCATTTGACGCGTCTCCAGAAAGAAAGAAGACAAAGTAGGATTGCTCATGATGAGTCCTATCATCTTTTTTGCTTCAGTACCTCACTGTAACAATATACTACACCTCCACTGGCATCAAAATGCATATGTGGGCTTAAGGTCTTGCTTTTTGAACTTGAGGTCAAGCCCATGTTGGAGCTGTGGTCATCTAAGAGTTCCAAGTTTATATCACAAGGGTCGACGGGGACAAAGACGGGAGGAGCCAAAGAATCCAGATCTTGAGCCGCCGTCTAAAAAAGAAACAAGGTGAGGATAAATTGTTTGTAGTCAGAACAGAAGGCGAAGTTGGAGAGAATCTTACCAGAGCCTTCGGTGGATTATCAGGGGTCGGTCTGTCCCGTCTGGGCTTTTGCAGGAACACGGCAAGAAATAACAAAAGGACTAGAAAGGACAGACCAATGCCAGCACAATACATCAGCAGCATCCCTGCAGACACACAAACAACACACAAAGCTGCAGGATTAAGGACGCATAAAACACCGGCAAGAGACTAATTGGCTCATTAGGTTTAAGATTGGGTTCAATCAAAATGGTTTAATCATGAGAGACCTTCCCTGTCCTCCGAGTCAGAGAGAACAATGACAAACAAATGCATAAGTTGCTTCAAACTTGAGCAGTTGGTCTTTATCCACCTCGTTTTACCTGAACTGGAACGAGTTGCAACACACCCTGGAGCAGATTTTGGGGAGGCAGCTATAGAGTAGATCGGGAAGGAGAAGTTGGCGACGGCACAGTAGCTCTGACCTGGAGACAGACCTGAAAACTCCAAGGTGGAAACCACTTCCTGGGTCCAAACTGTGCGGCTCTGTTCAGCACAGACAGGAGACAAACTTACAGGTCTGGTTTGGGAATCATAGAGCAACATTTTTGACTCTTTTATTTTGTTTTGATTAGTGATTAAAGTACTTTTTTTGTCAATAGATGATTACATTTTTGGACCATTTTGGATGTTTCACATGTCCTGGATCAGGGTTTGCAACCAGTGGCTCTTTGGAGCTTAATGATTTTGGTAAAAAAATATAGAAAAACTAAGAACCAACCAATTAAGGAAACAAAAGTACCAGTGATGTTTCTTTAGATGGGTTAGGCTTACCCTAAACCCTAAAAAAGTCAGTCTAGCTGGTCAAGCTATAACCTTTGTAATTGGTTTGGAAAACAATGTCTTATACACAGATATCAACCCATTATTGAAGAAAACATTTCTATCACCTTCTTACAAAGGGTGTATAATGTTATTTATTTCAAAACTTTAAAGTTACAATAAAATTCAATGTCTTTCAATGTGAATTCCTATGTCCTATGTTTACATAAGGACATGTCAGTTCCTTCTTACTTAGTGTCTATTCAGTTGACCAGAGGGCTTTAGTATATGTTGCAGACCAAAGTTCTGAAGTATTTTATTTTGGATTCAAACAACTGACAGTTTGTTGCTCTACATTCTGTGTTGCAATGAAATAGGATTAATTTCAGACCTGGTTTTCAGAGCGATTGAGCTCATTGTACACAGTCACTGTGGTCCAGGGGTCTATCAGTTTTGAGATGGGACAGCACACATCATGAGCGCACCTCCTGTTGGCCGCACAAGGAAACTGCACCTCCACAGACATGCTGTCATTCTTCAAGGAGACTGAGATGGATGGGGGGCTAAAGGCTGCAGAGGACAGAGAGCAGAAATAATTACTCGTATTTATTAAGGTTGATCAGGTTTATAATTTACACCTCAGATAAGTTTATTATTTTTCACATAAAGCAGCAGTTTTTAATTCAGGGTCAAACATAGTCTAGCATCAGCATGAAGAAACAAGAAAATGTGCAGACCCCCATGTGAGTCTATAGCTCTGGTTTGAGTGTTGTTTATAAAAATGCTGCAGATTGCTACTGACTAAAGTCACTGTAGTCAAACTTGTGTGGTTTGATCCAAACAGTGGAGCTGGGGGTGAGGTGGACTCCAAGGCGAATCATGTTGTAAAGCTCAAAGTTTGAAAAGACGTGGGAGACGTCACAGCTCCGGGAGGAGATCCAAACACACCAAGGGACGTCCTGCCAGGGGTCCCTGGGGCCCGGAAACAAAGAAATTCCAAAAAATGATCAGATGCAACACGATAATATTAATAATATTATTCTACTTTTGTTTTTGTTGTACTTTTTTCAAAGGAAACTCATGGAGCGCATTTTCATGAGTTTACAGCATTGGAATTCGTTTGAAAGCATTTACCAAAAGCAAAATCTATTATTAGCCCTCCGAAGCCTTAAACAGTTGTTTTCCATCAGTTTGATTAATTTATATAGTTCTTTATTCGTTTACAAGAATATTGTCCGAGTTATCATGCAAGTATAGTGTTCTATAGAAAACAAAGAAAGAATATAATGACTGGCCCAATCAAAGTTTATTTACATAGCACATTTACAACAACTTGGCTGAGGAAGGGATTTACGACAAGCACATCGCAGGTAGATAAAGGATAAAACAATAAATTAGACTAGATTAGATAAAAAGGACAATCTAAACAATAGAATTCACTATAAAACAGCAAAAAATGATATGAATAAAAAACATGGTCTTCTTTATTTCAGTTTCAGTAATTTTCCTAAACTGAAATGGTTATTGTTAATGATTAAAACAAGGCTGTTGTATCAGACAATATAAGAGATTAAATATAGATGTGAGCCCTGTAAATAATCCAGAGGAGCAGGAGCCTCCATGGGCTGAACCGTTTTTTTTTTTCCAGACGAGTTGATTATTTAGATTGTCATAAGTTGCAAATATCTTGTATATGGGGCTACAACTAAAAATTATTTAGCAAATTGATTAATCTGTCCATTATTTCTTCGATTAATCGCTTAATAATTAGATAGCCAACGGTTCTTGTTTTTTTTTTTACGAAACTAAACCAGGTGAAAATAAAACTTTTCCACTTCAGGAATTCTGAATAGAGCATGTAACACACGAAAACAATTTATTTTTATTTCATTTTTTTATGTTAAATGCAAAATGTTTATATATATATTGCTCTTACAACCTTGGTATAATTTCTGCTCTAAGTGAGTTGCTCTGTCAGCTAAAGGCATGTTTTGCAGCCTCTTTACTCCAGTTAACGATTAATTGATTACTAAATCAGTTGACTATTACTTCAATAATAGATTAATCACGATTAATCCAAGTAATTGTGTCAGCCCTAGTTGTATATATTTTAAACTGAACACATTTGCTAATTTACAAAAGTATTCATATTTTGAAGCATTTCCCCTTTATTTTGTTGAAGGCAATTTATTCTTTTTTTTTTTTTTTAGTACAACCTCTTGTGGAGGCTTAAGCAAGCCTCATACCTGGAACACACCAGTCCCACCATGAAACATGGGGGTGGCAGCATCATGCTATAGGCAGAGCCGAGGCAAGTGGCTCTTTAGACCTCCTACAATGGCTCTTAATTGTGGCTAAAAACAATAAAGTACAGAGAAATTGAATTTCCACAACAGAATAACATTTTAAAAAAGCTATATATTTTAAGATCTAATATATATATATATATATACACTATATTGCCAAAAGTATTTGCTCACCCATCCAAATTATTGGAATCAGGTGTTCCAATCACTTCCATGGCCACAGGTGTATAAATTCAAGCACCTAGGCATGCAGACTGTTTTTACAAACATTTGTGAAAGAATGGGTCGCTCTCAGGAGCTCAGTGAATTCCAGCGTGGAACTGTGATAGGATGCCACCTGTGCAACAAATCCAGTCGTGAAATTTCCTCGCTCCTAAATATTCCACAGTCAACTGTCAGCTGTATTATAAGAAAATGGAAGTGTTTGGGAACGACAGCAACTCAGCCACGAAGTGGTAGGCCACGTAAACTGACGGAGCGGGGTCAGCGGATGCTGACGCGCATAGTGCGAAGAGGTCGCCAACTTTCTGCAGAGTCAATCACTACAGACCTCCAAACTTCATGTGGCCTTCAGATTAGCTCAAGAACAGTGCGCAGAGAGCTTCATGGAATGGGTTTCCATGGGCGAGCAGCTGCATCCAAGCCATACATCACCAAGTGCAATGCAAAGCGTCGGATGCGGTGGTGTAAAGCACGCCGCCACTGGACTCTAGAGCAGTGGAGACGCGTTCTCTGGAGTGACGAATCGCGCTTCTCCATCTGGCAATCTGATGGACGGGTCTGGGTTTGGCGGTTGCCAGGAGAACGGTACTTGTCTGACTGCATTGTGCCAAGTGTAAAGTTTGGTGGAGGGGGGATTATGGTGTGGGGTTGTTTTTCAGGAGCTGGGCTTGGCCCCTTAGTTCCAGTGAAAGGAACTCTGAATGCTTCAGCATACCAAGACATTTTGGACAATTCCATGCTCCCAACTTTGTGGGAACAGTTTGGAGCTGGCCCCTTCCTCTTCCAACATGACTGTGCACCAGTGCACAAAGCAAGGTCCATAAAGACATGGATGACAGAGTCTGGTGTGGATGAACTTGACTGGCCTGCACAGAGTCCTGACCTCAACCCGATAGAACACCTTTGGGATGAATTAGAGCGGAGACTGAGAGCCAGGCCTTCTCGTCCAACATCAGTGTGCGACCTCACAAATGCGCTTCTGGAAGAATGGTCAAAAATTCCCATAAACACACTCCTAAACCTTGTGGACAGCCTTCCCAGAAGAGTTGAAGCTGTTCTAGCTGCAAAGGGTGGACCGACGTCATATTGAACCCTATGGATTAGGAACGGGATGTCACTTAAGCTCATATGTGAGTCAAGGCAGGTGAGCAAATACTTTTGGCAATATAGTGTATATATATATATATATATATATATATATATATATATATATATATATATATATATATATATATATATATATATATATATATATATATATATATAGAGGTGTATATATTAAAGGTGTGATATAACTGCTTTAATGGTTTCTATTATCATCCCCATGAGCATTAAACCATACACATAGATTTGCATATTTTTCCACAGATAAGAAAAGATGCATGTTTTTATAGTATATATTTAACAACAATGAGTTTTTTTTTTTTTTTTTATCAGAATGTCATGTGCAGCTCTAATCGACTTTAATCCAGCTGCATTTAGGCTGAAATGAATCTTCGGATTTTGAAGGTTACAGATCTCTGTGGTATAGTAAAGCTTTTGCTCATCAGGGAAATGGAAGCTGGTCAAAGATGATGGTAAGACAGTTGCAGTTAACTAAAGGGCAAACCTACAAAAAAAACTACATTTCATTGCTTTCTACTGGTGACAGTTTAATGAAAATAAAGTTGAATTCTATTCTATTCTTCTACAAGAAAACCAGAGTCTGCAAAATATCAGACAGTGACTGCAACACACCCTTCCTAGATATTTAAGGTTTAAAAAAAAAACCATCCATGGTAAGTTATTTTGCAGAAATATAAGCAAAAATGTATATCTGTAGATGTGCAAATCTGGTTCAGATTGTGTGTTCACTTGTTTTCTTTGGTTTATAAATCTAGAGCTGCAGTTTTTTGCCAATGGGGTGCAGTGAATTATATGGTATTGTGCTCCTCATATCTAAAGCATAAATCCTTCACATACAGTGAAAATATTTACCCAGTCTAAATCTAATTAAAGGTGTGATGTAACTGCTTTAATGGTCTCTATTATCATACCCATGAGCACATCTCTATGTAAACGGTTACTAAAGCAGGAGTTGGATTATGGATCTCACTCACAGGCAGTAGGACTTACCCCTGAGTCTTTGTCTGCACAGTGTAGGTGATATTAGGACTGGCATGGGGACAATCCCACCGCAGGAGGCAACTTAAATCCAGTGATTCCACAGCAGTGTAACAGACTAACCCAGTCGACCCTGAGAAGTTCGCACGAAACCAAGACACAAAAATAGCACGGTCACACAGGTGCTCACTGACCCCTTAAGTCCAATTGTCACAACTTTGTTAAGCTTCACAATCATGGTGCACAGAACCACAGAAGGTAACCAAAATTCACATTTCATTTAAATATGGAAAGAGACACAAAATTTAGGGGAATAAAGCTCATTTCAACCCAGATTTAACATTTCTACAAACATTATAATGCATAATGTATAAACTATGCTTCAGACTCCCAGAACATCTCGAGTACTCACCTGCGATGAGTGGGAGACTTATTGCAGACATAATCAATAATGGAAGTCTGCTCCATGCGAGACCCTTTGTCCTCATGGCTGCAATACAACCTCTGAACTGAAGAAAGTGAGACTATGATAAGCCAAGGAGAAGGTGGAAGGGGTGGAGAGATAAGGATTCAATTAAAGGCAGGTGATTTTGTAAGAGAGGATCTGCTGTTTGATCCACTTAAAGAGGAAGGTGAGAAAGGAAACCATGAATGGAAGCTCAACAATGTCTATAACACAGATACACCTTTTTAATGTTGATTCCATATAGAGCGAGTTTTCAGTCTGCTTTATCTATATGCCTTTTTAAAAAAGAAAAAACAAAACATATTTAATTATCCTAGAAATCCTAAAGATTTCCAAATGATTCAATTGGAATAAAAGGTTTCTGGAATTTCTATAGATTAAACACAGTGCTGTTTTTCTCTTTTGCTAGACTGTATGAACTCAATTATATCTTGATTTTAATATTGTGATAATTTTATATTCAATGCACATCCAGGTTGGACGTCATATTGCTGTTGTGAATAACTGTTATATTCAATTGCCAGTCAGCTGGGAATTTATATTTTCTGATACTTTAAGATGTTTATTGCCCTAGGAGGAGTGGTAAATATCTTATTTGATCAGATATTATTTGGGATGTTATATATTGTTTATGAACACACGCCCTAATAGCTGTGCGTTAGAAAAATAAATGAAAGACTGATTCGAGCTCAAATCATGGTCAGATAATTCTGCACATACATGGAATAAATTCACCACAACTTCTGTTCAAAATATAAGAGTTTATTAACAAAAAACATTAAGCTCCAAGTCAAACATATTTTAGTTTAAAGCTCTTAAACTAGTGAAAATCAACTAAACTACCATGTATAAAGGAGGGGAAGATGTTTGAAAATCTTATTACAATGGATCTTATTAAGATGGATTTTGTGTTTGAAAACCAAAGTTTATGTGTAAGAATTTGGGACATGATCAAATATGCTTTATACTAATTTAGTGAAATTGGAATGTTTTCACAATGCAAATCCATGAGGAGAATAAAACATTTTTTGGCCAAATGTTTTATTAAATGTTTTGCTTAATCAGGAACCAATAACCTTTAGTTAAATGATTCTTTCCCCTCTTTGTAATAGCTAGGAGCGAATAGACATCAGGATTCCATTAAATGACTCTTATACTTGGTAATTGAAATGTAATGAGCATCTGAGGAACACATGAACACCAATTTTATATTAATGTTTAAACCCTTTTGTGAAATAAAGCTTGTCCAAGCTTCAACAACAGCTCAACACATGTTACTATAGCAAAGCATGCAGTCCATCCCTTTAGCTTTGTCTTTACTCATCAGTTATCAAAATCATCAAAAGACACTGTTCTGTCCAAAACCTACAAAACTTTTTGTCCATGCCCATGTGGAAGGCTTGTGTTTTCATCCAGCAGGAGCTTAGCATGGCAGGCACACAGCAACGCGGGGGTTTTCCTCACACCAAGGGATCCTTAGGAGACTTTCTCCTCCAGTCTGGCTCTATAAGTTCTGAAACTCACGAGAAATGTGTTGCAAAAGGCCTGTTTTGCAGCAGCTTGGTTCTGAAAAGTCAACCATCATGACTTGATCATTCTGGCGATCTGGGCCTTTTGGCCCTGGATCTCCATGATGGCTTCTTCCAGTTGGCTTTCTCTTCTCTGGTCATCATGTCAAGATGAAACATGGACACTGGTTCCAATCTCCAAAACCACGATCATGACACAATATTGACTCAGAGTTTTTCTGTTTAACTGTTTCTCTTCTAGATTTTTACCATTACTTCTGAGTCAGTACTTCTTTCTTTGAAGTCTCTGCTCTTCTCAAAGCACCAGCCAGTTGTAGCAGAGGGTCGTTCACACACTGAGGCTGGTTCTGCTGGAGGATTCCTCTCCACAGTCGCCATGTGCATGCTAACCATGAGGGATTGCTCCAAAAATCAATAATTTGGTGATGTTTTTTGGGGTTTACTTGGAAATATTAACCCATTTGTAAATATGATTTGAGTGAAATGACTCCAAATTGTCTTGAGATAACTTTTATTAAAAAAAAAAACTGAATTGAAATTTTCACTTTATGATCTGTGGGTCAGGAACTGGGATACTTTTATCTGTTAAACTATGCTGCTTTCTTTTAGAACTACTCATTATATATTGGTGCGACCACTATGGCTGTGGTATGGACCTAAAGTCCTATCACAAGGACTTTAGGTCCTTGAGACATTATTATTGATCAAATTAAACTTGATAAAAACAAAACTTTATTTATTCTTCTTCTTCTTTTAGCAACTTTTAGGCCAAAGCAATCATAGCTTGATGATCAATACTACTAATTTAAAGTAGTCATTCCTCAGCACTCCGTTGCCACAAAGAAGTGTGATTTGAATCACTAAACATCCCATGACAACCACATTTCGTATTGAAATTTGTCCATGATTTACCCATTTAAGAGTTTTTAAAACATAAATTCAAATTTATCGCTTTGGCAAGGAATCAAAATTCGATAAACTATACGATTAATGGCCCGTCCCGCCAATAAGCATCCAAGTTTGTTGTATTTTAAAAATTGTTAAATCCTGTTCTAAAGAGTTTCCAAATTGTTCTTTAAACTTTTTTAAGCAGCGGATAATATTAATGACAAAAGTCCAACTCCTTTACCATTTACCACTACCGTTCATTTTGAAATTTGGGAATTTCTCAGTCTTTGAGGTGATAAATGGAAGGAAAGCAGTGCCTTTAAAACACTTTGAGAACAGTTTGGCAGAAAACATTTATGTGTTTGGATTTAAGGCAAGAATCACCCAAGAAAATTTAGTAAAAAAAAAAAAAAACATCTTAAACATAAGTGCATTCTATCTTTTTATTCAATGCCATCTTTAAATAATAAGAATCTGTACATCTCTTAAGCAGGTCTTTGACCATTCATTCCCAAATATAATGATAAACAGTCTCCTTATAAACAGTAATACAGTTGAAGTGCTTAACCAGGCAACCAGAAGGGCCAACAAAGTTCATACAGCAACAAAAAAGAAAAAAAATATAGTCTTAAGAACGGTGACATTCTCACACACGTACCCTTTCACACACGACACTCATACCCAACTCGGTCAAATGCTCCCCAGAAATGCACTGTACGCCTCTCCGTAATTAAACACGTTAAAGCAAACCTGCCTGTTCATTCAGAAGCAGCACCAAACATCAAAAATAATCCTTACAACAGTATTAATACTAAGCTCAACATTCCTCGTTTCAGCGTCGGTCGGACTCATCTGGCAATAAGAGTCGTTGCAGCCGTAAATTTACAGATTCCCGCCGAAGCACGCCTGTAAGAGTCAAACACGGGCTGACATCGTGCAGGACACCCTCAGTCCAGCAGAGGGCTTCCGCCGGCAAAGTCCTGCAGCGTTCCTGGACAGAGAGTAGTTTCTTTCGAGTCTGGACAGTATTTTAATGAACTCATGCAGGCACACAAACTTCTGTGCAACAAAAAGATTTTTCCGGAGAAAAAAAGAAAATAAGCTGAGTATTGCTGCATTAAAATCTGTGCAAATTTTAAGAACACCCGCTTAATTTCCAGGGGAAGAGCTTTGCATTTGGTGTCGACGGTTGGGGAGTTATGTTTGAGCTCCTGGCAGGGCCAGTCCCGGATCCAGGCTGGTGTTGGTGGGCGGCAGGACCTTAGGCCCCGGACAGAGCAGCCCACGGGAGGCGGCGTGGTCCCCGTTCAAGTTCTTATAGGGGTTTCGGCGAGGGGGCGCTCTGAGACAAACTGAGGGGAAACTGAGTCCAGCCAGGCAGCAGCCAGGACAGGAGATCACCTCCTCTTGGTCCAGGGAATGGCCGCTGCCGGAACCGAACGGTGAGGAGCCGGCGGGGTCGCTGGGTGAGGAGTGGTAGCCGTTGTTGTTGGTCGTGGGCGTGTCTGTGGCGGCGCTCCAGCCTAGCGGTCGGCTCACGATCACATTGTGGTTGTCCAGATTGGAGAGAGGCGGCAGACAGGGAGGCCCGTTAGCGATGGCTGACCTCCAACCGTTTGCCAGGGACTGGGTGGAGGGATGGAAGGGGGTGGAGGAGTGAGACGGAGAATGATGTTTGGAGTAAAGCGATGACGTGATGTCGTGCGTATCAGGGGAGGTGGTGCAGTCCATGGGCTCCTCCTCCACCTCCTGCTGCTCTTGGTCCACCGTGTTCAGTGATAAGGGTTCAATAGACAGCGGGAGACCTGAATCCCCTGCAAGGGATGAGTCCTCCTCTCCTCCCAGCAAACTCGTCTCCTCACTCCTCCTTCCCTCACCGTTCATCTCAAACGCCGACCCTTCCTCCGTGAGGACCGTGTTCGGCGCAGATATCATATGCGGAGGCGGCGTACACGGCAGTGAGTGGCATCGCCTGTGCCTCCTGGGTATATCGACGGCCTCCGCTTCAGATGCTGAGACGTCGACGCAGTCCGGCGGAGGAGGCAAGGTGAAGGTCAGGGAGATGACAGACTTGCTGGGAGTGTCGAAAAGCTTGATTTTTCCTCCTTTGAGGTCCTCCCGCTGCAAGAAAGGGTTGAGCCGAGCAGAAGGCGTGAAAGTAACACAGGGCAGCGTGTCCTGAGGGTGCAGCATGTCGGACTTGCTACGGGAGAGACGGGGGTCGGACGTGTCGCAGAGGGACGGCCTCCTCAATGGTCCAAGGTCTGGAAAAACAAACCCGAAGAGATGAAATACATGAATGGAGGAAACATAATGGTTAATTGGTGCCCAAACGATGTCCCACCTCTCACTGGAGGTTCATCCCTCTGCTCCCTCTCAGCTCGTTTCTTCTCCAACTCGGCTACAATTTGGGAAAAAGACGGACGGAGTTTGGCATTCATCTGAGGAGGAGGAAAAATCGATAGAGGTGATTACATCAGAAGAATACCTTTTTACTAAATTAATTAAACAATACCCATAATCATCATCCTTCATCTGTTATCACTCAATATGATTCCTAAATATTAAGTTATACATAAACACAGAAATGCATAAACCCTACAGATGATATTCCACCTTTAACAGTGGGTCAAAAT